TGACCACAGTGATACGCTAGTTCAGATATCTGATCTTTTTAAGACAATTTTTTTACTACTTTGAAAATTTTTGTTTTTTTAGCTTTTAAAATTGATTTTATCTAGTAACCATATAAGTGCTGGCAAAAAAATCACTGAAATAGAAAATCACTTTTCATCAACTATTTGTATATTGTAAGGACCATGTTTCCCAAGTTAATTTAAGGAAATTACATACAAAAATTGTTCTTAAACATAAATTAATTTTTATTTCTTTTAGTAAAGATTTAGGTACTGATCTGGACATCTACGGAACTCTCTATGGGCAGGAAACTACTCTATGTGTTTTTTATAAATCGACAATATTTAATCTGTGAGGCCTTCTTAAGCATTGAAACAGGAAATGTCTTCCAAAAAGGATGAAATATATTAGGTTATTTTCCCATTCATATAAGATTCCTAAGGTACTTGGCATTGTTTTTATAACGTGTAGACAGATCATGAACCAAAACCTTTCAAAAATGATTACAAATGCAATAAAATAAACAGACAAATCTGTGATTAGTATTTTTCAAAAGAACTGTTAGACCAAAAACAGATGAAAAAATTGCAATATTCTGTAAGAAGTTTAGTACTCTCTTCATTGTCTTACAATGCTTGAAAGATTAAAAATCAGTCTTCTATATATGTCTGCTTACCTAGGAGTTTAAAGCCAGGAAGACCAATGCCATCCTGTGCAAATACCCCATAAAAGATACACAAGCAAGACACTCCAGTTGACTCCAGTATCAAAGATGCCAAGTAGAGTTTATATGTAACATGAAGTAGGCGGCGTGACCGAAGAGTATCTAGAAAGTATCACTACAAGTATTTTTATAAAATTCAAGAAATTAATCATATAAATGTACATTTAATGCAGGAAAATTTTTTACAAAAGACCACTTTAAAACATTTTTTTGTGATTAGTATATAGCTATGATTCATGTTTTTATCATTTGGTAGTTGAAACTGGAATAAAATAAAGGAAAAAGTGCAACTATTTATGGATAAAAGACATAGAGCTAAGTGTACAATACAGCATATACTTAATTATCAACTATACTGCTGGTATTATGCTCTATTTTTGTAAGAACTACTGTTCTATAAAAATATTATTCACAGAATTTCTATAATACACTCAGAGAATTGAAAACTTAGTTTGGAATCATTCATATCAATTATATTTCACAAATGATTGTTATTAATTCTTAAGTCCCTCTATAGAATAAACTAAACATGCAATACTTCTGAACATTTGTAAAGAAAAGACATACAAATGATCCTTAAACTGTTATTTATATTCAATCTAATTTTCCTCTGTTTTGTTAAACTTTGTGTCATGATTACATTTCAGAAAAATGCATTTCAAGTTTATTTTGTTTTTATACATTTCATTAAATAAACTAACACAAAAATAGCAGTAATTGGTTAAAAACTATTTAAAGAATGACAAGTACTTTGTGCAAATTCATAAAAAGCAGTAAAAACACATCAGCATAATAGTGCACAAATGATTAAAGAATAGACATAAAAACTAGATAAGCTTGGATAGACCAAGCTTGTCATTCTCAAAGTATGGAGAAAAATAGTTCTCAGTATCATATATGTTCAGGTTCAAAATGGTCAGAAAGGTCAACGTTCATTAACAGTATTAGAATGCAAAACTAATTAGAAAGAAAAAGCTTTCAAATAAGGTTGAGCATTATATTATTGAGCATGTTTTTTTCTATTTTCAAATATTTCTATCAATTCTATTGTGTTGCATTATTGGAGAATTTTGGTTCAGCAATGATTTTTTTGATTCATCAAACTATAATTTTCTAGTTAATTTTGTGAACATTTAATACTAAACTCAATTTTTAAACTTCCTTTAGACAACATTAGCTTTCATGTTCTTTTACTTTAATTGAAAGAAATCAATTTGTTGGACCAATATAAGCATAATTAAAAGAACAATAAATGGAATAAATACTCTGCTTGTAGTGGGTTTCTGTCTTATCCTTCCCTTTGTTCAATTTAATTGAAAGTTTGTTCACTGTCTCAAAAAAAAGTTTAATTCTATTCCATTTTAAAACAGCACTAGTTTGTTTAATATCAAGGGGTAGAAGGGTATCATTAGATAAGAACCATTTCTTAACCTATTTGCAGTCGTTTTATTCACATTGTTATTAAGTTTAAGTCCTCAGGAAATAGGCAACATTTTTAAGGTAGTTCCAGTCACCATTAATTTCCCCTTTTTGTCAGAACAAATGTTTAAAATAAGCCAAATAAAAGTTTTTTATATCTTTTGCAAATAAGGCTGTCTAGACTTAATGTAGGGAGCAGTCTCATACTTTCTGGTTTCCAATACACTTCTGTACCTCACTTGCCATATGAGCACCTGTATCTAAAACATCAAGAAAAGGCATCTGGACATTACATTCTAGTCCATAAGTTAATGTGAGTCTGGATGAACTGAGTTTAATTTTTCATGAAACTGCTTAATGAAGTTCTCTTTCAAGTAGAGTGAAGAAACATGAAGGCTACTGTTGTCAGAAGGAAGTTGAAAAATGAGTTTAAGCATTATATGTTCACAAAAAAAATAACAACAATAATTTTGATTAATAAAAAAAATCACTGCTGATCCAAAATTATTTCATAATTCCAACACACAAGGATCAGTAGAAATAAGAAAAGTTAAACATGTTCAATAATGAAATGAGATTTGAACTCCCTTCTATTTGGAAGTTTTTAAATTAACTTTTATACTCTACCACTATTAGTGAACAATGTCTTTTCTGGACCATTCTGAACCAAAATGTACAAGATGCTGAAAATAATTTTACTCCATCCCTTAAGAATGACACTTGGCCTGTCAAAACTAGTCAGATTTTTTATGTTTTGTTAACTCTTTAATTATTGTACTGATGAATAAACACTGGTTTTCAAAAGCACACACTTTTACAAGTTTTCATAAATCTTTTCATCCATGTGGCATTAATGTCTGAGTTTAAAAAATATGTTCTAAATTAGGAGTTATTTTATTTGAACTATGTTCCATTTTGTATTTCCCACAACTGAATCCAATACATCACATATTTTAAGTTGTTCTAATCCATCTGAACAAGTATTCATAAATGTGCAGTACACAACAATAGAATAAAAATATTCTAATGAAAAATGTTTAGAAATTAACAGAAGTATTTGAAGTGTTATTTGTGAAGTTTAACAAGGAAACAATCTTAACATATAACTTACGTGCTACGAAACACGAGGCCAAAATCAAAAGGAAATACACAGCAGCAAATGTGATGTCAGTTTGCAAAATATCTAAATAAAATGTTGAAGGATTATGAATTAGCACCTCTCAACAACATACTAAATGTCTCTTTCCTGTGACCCTTTAAATCACATTTTGCAAAACAGAAAACAACAAAAAGAAAATAATCAGGCTAAACAAAACACAATTATATAAATGATAAGCTTATCTGCAATATCTAACAATTTTTCATTATTTAGATACAGCCATTCAACATGAAAATTCTTTGAATTTTATGCTAAAAATAAAGCATTGAGACAATATCTTATAAAAGCTCCTGTGAATAATATACCAAGTATTTCAAATATCTGAATTATAAAACCTAGGCCAACAAAAATCTTTACCCAAACACCATTATTGACAAAATAACGAATATATATAGAAAGTAGGCCTATAACAATCATTAGGATGCCAGCTGTTAGTGATTCTTAACAAAGTTAAGTTTATGTGGATCATAAATTTTATCATCTTGAAACACTATTTTTTATAAACCTCTGACTACTCTTCCGCTTAGATATATATGACCTTATGTTGCATGAGAATAAACAAGATTTTATTTTAATTCAAATGGAATACTATCTAATTTAAGCCTATGTGAAATGTACATAAATTTGACTTATGTCTATCTGTTATGGATCAAGAATTATATGTTGAAATAATGAGATTAGATTAATAATTTTTAAAGGTCTTTTCACCTCCTACTAGTGAATTTTAAGCATGTATAACATTACCATATAAATGTAATGAATTTTTCGTTATTCACACTAATAAATGTCCCTACTCTAACTTTCTGGGTAACTAAAAATTTGAAAAAGAAAAATACATGGAGAGTCAGCTTGATAAGTGGAAATTCAAAAGTATGCAGCAGCAATGTATCATTTTCTTTGCACTAATGTGGTATATCACCCACAGGTGCCTCTTATATCATAATTAATAATTATTTACTTAAATACATTTATTGCTGACTTAATGGTTAACCAGAGAAAATAATGTAATTTTACTATAGTCAAGTAGAAATATTTGAATGCAAAAGATACTTTATTTTATTATTTTAAAGTTTTAATGTAAATGTTGACATAAGCTTTTAGTAGTGTAATAATGAGATAAATTTTCTGATTATTAAATTAGGCACCGTAATTTATTTTATAAGTATAACAAAGAATAAAGAGATCCAACAAGACTTGACAGCTCAAGAAACAAAATAGCAGACCTACTTGAACGACAAGAACTTTATAATTGGTTGAGTTAGAAACTCACTATCACAGATATTTGAGTATATAACTTCTCTTAATTATGAATAGACTAAATAAAATGTAATGGCTATTTCATGTTTAAACGTAATTCTCTCTACATTCATTATAAGGTCTGTTATTGTAATTTTAATTTTATTGTAATTCCAGTGCAAAAATTTAAACTATTATGCCCCATTACAAGTGCTTAACTTTGCTTGGTTCATATGAACATAATATAGTCAGTCAAAGAAGGTTTACTAACATTCTCACAAAAGCTACTAGCTTAACCCTTTATCATCCATGGAAAGTTTTTTTTTCCACTACAGTAATTGGCATAAATGTACGGGTGAAGATTATGTCTAGAGTGCATATATATACGGGTAAAGATGACAAAGGGTTAAGAATGCTTAGATTGGTAGAATGTACAATTTTGGATCAAACACTTTTATTGAATTAAAATTTATCAGGTTCCACTGGGGGAAGAAGTTCCACACCATGAATAACTTCATGATTTTCTGAGACTTTAAATGTTCTATCTCTCTCTCTGTAACTTTTCCAATTTCCCTGTGAGTCTGCAATCAAAAAATCTGATGGAAACAGTATTAGGTTTTGCAAGGAAACAAGGTGGTATCATTTTGTTCTCTTAGTCCTTTTTTCTTTTTTAGTTTTTAAAGTGTTGATCCTGTATATTGAAATATATTTAAGTAATTTTCATTCTTGTTGAAGAAGGTCTTTGTTGTTGTTAGAATTCTTAGCTCTTCAAACTGTGGCTGTTTGCTAGTAACATAATTCTTAAGTCAGAGTCTTATTTTGAGGCTTAAGTAATTATGATTTTTATCACATAAATAGTGTTGCTATTAAAAAAATACTTTGACTGCTGTTTCTCACTTGTCAGACTTTGCCACATGCTTTGGAATTTAAATAAACAGAAATAAATCCACTTGACAATCAACATAAAAATTAAAATATGTAATGCAAAATATGCACTTGGTGGTGCACATAAAAGAATATGACAGATGGAAACATTTTGGTGCAGTAACTAGAATTTAGCAGTTTTTGTGTCTCAAGCTTCCTTTTCAAGTTTCTTGCAGATAAAACTGAGCTCTGTAAGACTTCAAAACACTATTTTAGCACTATATTAAATTGACAGTGTACAATTTTTAACATTTAACTGTGAATCACATTTCATCTTCTGTCCAATGACTGGATATTGAGAGAAATACATACACTGTTTATTTTACAATAGAAATTCCAAGTCGTCCAATAGTAAATGAGATCAGAGAGAAAGTTCAGTTTAAACTGATTTTCACTGGTGTTTGAAATATGGCAACATTTGGATTTATGAACCTTCCACAATTTTACTTTTGACATAATTTCTAGCTTTATATAGTAACTGGCTGATTTCCAGTTGACTTTATGATCAAGATTTCTCAAGTATAGAAAAACATCATTAATTGTTTGACCATTTGCAACATCTTTTTTATATTTTACAGTCTTGTTAATAAGCTCAATCAATCAAATACCAGTGTGTTCATCCACTAGTTTTTTGTATTATCCAGATCAGGAGTTCACTTCTTGTAGTTTCTGTACCTAATGATGCCAGGTTAACCTGGTGAAACATTGTAACCACAGATATTGTACTCTGTATATCTAACAATAATCAAGTTTTAAGTTTTACATAACAGGGTACTTCCTTTACATACTTACCTACTACTGGTGATGGGTGCAAATGTTATCCTCTCTAAGAGCAATTATAAACAACTTCTGATCAAAGTAAGCTACCTACATGTATCAGAACTAAAAGTTACCCCAGTAGCTAATTTAATATAATGTTCAAATTAGTAGTATGCAATATCATAAAACAAAGATTATATCAAATAATAATTAGAATACATTGAATCATCATTTGGTCATAACCTCAATAATATCTGATGAGGTTCAGCCAGCCTATGAAATATAGACCAATCCCGAGTCGAAATACTCAAGCTAACAATACAAAATAATCCTCATAATAAAACAGTACATTCATACAATACATAAGTGAAAAATAATAAATATACATATTAATCATTCTGTGTTATACTGTTATTGACACTAACATTAAAGAAATGATGAAATGTAATTTTACATATAATACACAAAAACTAATTTGCTTCATGCACTATACTGGTGAGTTAAAAGATGTTGAGTGAAGAAACAGCATACAGATGCTAAACATATAAATCATCATTTTAGGCATATGCATTTGCTAAAAGATTATGTTTTTTGTGTAGTTACTTGAAGTACCAATGAATAAGTTTATGTGTAACAGAAGATATGCATGTTCAAAGAAGTCAGCTGCAGAGCTTGGAATTCACCAGTTTCAACAAACTTTGTTTCCACTGCGAAAGAAGCAAATTTTACCTGCTTTTGACAAGTTGGAAACGTTATTAACTCTTGGAATAAGCTTATGACATAATCAGAAATTTACATAAGCATGCCTCCCATGGAGTTCTTCCACAAGGCATTTCAATGTTTCATCATCAAATTAACTCACTATCATGTTGATGGAATAAGATAACTTTAGCAAAGCAAGCAACACAGTACCCAGATTATCAGAAAATTGAGTTTGCAATGAAGTGACAGAAACAGCACAATGCTGCAGTCTGTCAGAGACCTAGCTACTCTCCAGCAAAATGTAATTTGTAGCTCAGAGTAATGAAATGCAAACATTACCAATATCAGTAATGTTATCCACTCTAGGAGTGTCAAAACATCATCCAACCTGTGCAAAATTGAAGCATTATACAGTAAAATGCATGAATATCAAGTAAGAGGTTTGAAATAAGTTGTTTAACAGACAAAAATAAAGATACTTCTGAAAGACTTTCAACAGAACATTCAGTGATAGTACAATAGGTATTAAAGTGGATGATAGAAACATTGTAGTTGATGGTCTACTGCTAACTACTTACAACAGGAGCAGTATTTATACTATTTAAGAGCAAACATTATCTATTCTCAAAATAAATAATGAAGATTATCAACTCTCAGCATCCTTTAATTTTGTTTTGGTTTATGTAATTCATGAAATAGAGACAGTCATTAAGAAACACATCTTACGACTAATGTATACTTGTATTAAAAAGATCAAATGTTATCCACTCTCAGAAGCGAGTGTAAACATTATAACTTCTTAGCAAAGCCTAGTATTATTGATCTAGGAATATTACACTAACATAAATGTATTTTTGTAACTTTATTTTTTTACCTAGCTTCTCTGTTATACGAAAATGGAAAATTAAGTATCCTTAAAATATTTGGTATATATATGCTGTTACACATTTTACAATGATCTCTTTTGCAATATATATAGTATACATACAAAACTATTCACATAACAAATATCTTTACAAAAGCAAGAAAAACTTTCAAACTACACACAAAACAGAAGCAAAAACAGTAAATCCCATCATTACTAGATAGCCAGCCAGCTTCATGAAATGATGTAATATGCTTTGCTTGTTTTATTGTAGGTGTTGTAAAAATAGATGGAATGATCAATGATAAAAAATAGCTTGAAAGTTTTTTTTTATGTTTTAAAATGGAACACTAAGCAAGGTGTTTTGACATAATGATAAATCTTTGAGCCAATCATCATATAGTATATTATATAAATTTTTATGATGTCTTTAGATGTTTTAGGGAACTCATAAGGCAAACTTTTTATGAAACTAATTTTGCTAAAAATTTACATCTTCAGATATCATTTTGATTTTAAAAAAGTATACATTCAGATAAACTTTTACTAAAAGTATGACAGTTTAATAAAACTTACAAAACTCATCAGCAGAAAATTGTTTAAGCCAAGAACTTTTCTCATTGTTCGTCAGCACAAAGCGATACTTCAACTTTAAACCCTGGAAGATAAATTAAAATTATTAAACAATAGTTATAAAATACAAAAATATATTCTAGAGCTTATGAATACCAACTGTGTGAAATTACCAAAATATGAAATGGCAACTATGTGTGTTTGTTTGTTGTCAAGCATAAAAAGCTATGCAAGGTGAAATCTGTGCTGTACTAATCATGGGTAGAAAGGCATAGTTTTTATAATTATAAACTTTCAAACTTACGGCTTAGCCGCTGGTGGGGTACTGAAACTTGTAAAATAATGAGTAATGCATTCTGGATTACTCTTTTTTTCAAAAACAGTCTTTTTTTGTTATTATTAAATTTTCTTAAAGCCAAACAAAATGCTAGACTCAGTGGATTACATTCAATTAAAAATACAAGTAAACAAGCAGTGTTGTCCCTTAACATGTTGAACAGGGCACATCATGAAACCTTTTTCTGACAATGACATCATCTGAATATCACATGACAAATTTCACAAATTGAAGAGGTCTATAGAGGTGTACTGAGCAACTAAATGAGTTTATAAACCTTAGGTGTGTTAATTATATCTTTAAGGAAACTAAAATTAAAATATAAGTGTGTATTTTGAAATAATTTACAAGAAAATAAGAAAACACTGTGTGAAGTACTTGATGATTACAGATACTAAGTATATACATATTTAAAGGTTTTCAAGAAGTACATTTTATTATTTTTGACATATATAATGTATAGTAAGGAGAAAGCAGCAGATCGGACAATTTATAGGGAAAACAAAGACACTAGTGAGCCACAATACCAAAGGAAGATACAGGCTTGAAGCCCATTGCAGGAGCTAATCTGGGACATTCCAAATGTGACCTCAGAGGTGCAAGAATTCACAGCTACCAATTCTCATGCCAGACAGATGTGGTATGTTGAGAAAACCCCAATGGTTAGATAACACACACGACAAAATGAACCAATGTCACAAAAAAGCAGTTAACAGGACTGTGATGAAAGACAAGGGTCAAACACTCTTAGTGAAGAAATTGGAGTTACATGGTTTGTCTCTATACACCCTAAGTTAATTGTTTTGGATGATTTTTCCAAAAATATTAGATAATGGACAGAAATAAGTTCTGTAAGTACCAATAACAAACTTATGGTTACACATGCCTACAGGATGTGTAATAGTAGGATCAACACAATCCACCAGGGTGCCGAGATTGGTAACATCACACTTTCTGTCCACCATATTGTGATCGTTCATGTAAATAGTCCTTGAGCCAGCTACATGTATTAATCATTCTTACACTGTTAAATTGTTTCAGTTTTAGGAGATACTTGTCTATGTTAATTAGGAGAACATAGTAGTTTTTTTTCATTTCAGTAGATATTGACACTTGTTTGTTGGATGAAGTTTTCACTTTTTGCCCATCTCAGGCACGATGAGTTGATCATAGTTTGAGATGCAAGTGATGTAGCTAGTGTCCTTGCTGCAGGCAAGTCTATACTGGGTCAACGACTCGAACCTTAGCTACCAGAATCAAAGAGCATGCACATAACAGCCCTTTCAATAACACTGGAATCTACAAACACCTTAGCAAAGATTGTAACAAAAAACTAAACAGTGAACACTTCGGAATAATAGATTCAGCAAAATATGAATGGAGGCTAAGAAAAAAGGAAGCACTCCTAATTTTGAGTATACAATCTAAGCTGAACAATCAACTAGTATATGACCCACTAGTATATGAAATAAGGCATGTCCAGTAAGTTTAAGCATTTTGCACCCACATTCATTTTTGCCTGTTTTCAAACTGTGAAAAACTAATCACATATTAATATGCAAAGTTATAAAAATAAATTTACTGAAAATATAATGGACATAAACAACATGGCAATCATCTTACTGCTGAAATATCATACAGAACGAGCCTACGTAAATCATGTTTCATTCACAGTCGAATGTGATTTCAATTAAATAATGCATTTGTCAAAATATATTCATGTTGTTATAAATGTATTGGAATCAGCTTCTACAAAATAATAGAAAATCTCATTGTCATGCAAAAGAAATAAAATCCATATAACCTAAAAATGACCCTTTCTCAAGTAAAAACTGTTTTTGCCACAGGATTTTTCCTCTAATAAATAAATAAAGTATCTTAAGTTTAAGGTATACCTTACTTTTACAGTGGAAAAAAGTTAAAAAAATAATTACATATTATAGAAACTAGTATTTCAAGGTTCAATTTGCAGATATAACTATACTATGCAGAGGTGGGAGTAGAGCAAAGCAGCCAAGAATGAAAACTTAAGCTGCCATTTCTTCCATAATTCAGACTGTGGTTACAAACAATACGAAAACACTGTCCAGGAATGCTAGTTTTCTGTACTCATTGCTCATATAGCCTATTCAATGAGCCTCTCTTCACACCACTGCAACACTAAGTATTCTTCATAGGTTTATCAATATGAGCTGTATCATCCCCTCATTTCAAGAAAACTGATATAATGAAACTTTTGGCACACAACCACCCAGTCAACAATAAAATCAGTATGAAAGAGGGCAATAAATGACATTCTTTGCCTAGTGGCTCTTTATAAAACTGCAAAAAAGATTTATATAGTTTATACATATAGTCAGGCAGGAAATATCCCTCTTAAGTATTCACAGTACCACCAAAAATTTCTATGATGGAAAACTCCCACCCCTGCTATAATTTTACATGGGCTAAAATATAATTCACTCAACTGCTAAACATGCTATAATTTAAAGCAATATGGAATGCACTTTTTGTGCTTTATACACATTTAATACTACCTTTGAAATTCTATAAATTTAGAATTCTTTTTGTAGCCCCCTAGCAATAGCAATTCCAAATATGAAGGTTGGAAGCATGTGCAAGATAATCATAAACCTACATGTATTATGTGAAGTTATTATGAAATTAACATTTAATTTTCATATATACTTATTAATTAATAAGTGGCACTAATTACCTAGTTAACAGTATGCTTATAAACAAAAATAAAAAACAGCATTTATACAACAAATTTTATTAGTTGGTTTTTACCATATTCAGTATTTTGTTACCACAGTTTGTTCTGATTTACTACACATTTTGAACAATAGTTTGTCTAAAGTTACACATTACATTTTCTTACATCTTCATCTAAATCAAATATTAACCTATTTAAATGTATTTAATCCAAATGAAAAAATAAAAATGTAAACATAATACAGACATTTATACAGGGAATATACTTGTTACTTCAGTAAAATCACAGTATCACAATATATTTCTTATTAAGTGGAGTAAGCCTGCTTTCCAGTAAATAATTAAAATCAGAAGTAACTTAGTCCTGCTCTGTAAAGTTTAACCCTTAATTATTACACTTACCCTTTCATTGTAAAGCCTTATTCTAAAACAATGTGTGCATGTGTGTGTATATATTTACCATAAATGCACATACAAATCAATTTCTTGTATCATAAATTCCACATTAGTAAAAACAAAAAAGAACAACATAGTAATATTAATATACTAATACAAAGATTAATTTTTCTAATAAAGATTAGAGTAGCAGTTTAATCTAGTATCAGTTAAACAAAGAATAGCTACCACCAAACAGATCAGGCTACATTATACAAATGTGACCACTAATGTAAATGTTTTCACAGATGTGTAATCCTCAACACTCTTAATCACCTATGAAGCTCTAGCTGCAAGTTTCAACAAGAACAAATGGTTGAATAGAAGCTATTTCTGACTCTTTTTTTTGACATCATTCATATCAGGTCCTTAATCTTAAAATGCAATTAGTTAAAATACAACATTGTGATGAAGCCACAATATTGCAATTTGTTATAACCTAAGAAATTTTTGTATGCTTACTTCACTATTTGTGTATCACAACAAATTCAAACACTCCAACAGATACAACTGTGCTGCTTTTTTCTTTTTGTTGACATTATCAGCTACATTTCATATTTCATGATGTTAACTTAATACAGTGAACAATTTGTTTAATATAAAATGTTTACATCCATTATTCACAAAAACTAAGATTATTTTAAAACACTCCATCTTTAGAAAACTAAAGAAAATTTGTAAACCTATAATACATCCAACTTCCAAGTTTTATTTCTTTCCAGAACTCCTTCACTTAATGCTGTTAATAGATCTTACCTTAGATGAATCACAGTTGCTAACAGCAATAAACCACCAACGTGGTCGAGCAGTTTCAAAGACTCGGTATCGGGAACAATGATACATACTTTCACCACCAGGATTACGCTCAACAGCACAACCTGAATTAGGCTTTTCTATAGTGAGGTTTATCACTTGACCTCTCTGAACAGAAAGAACAGCTTCCTTTTCCTGACAAGCCTGAAAATATTTTGAAAAAAGCACATATAAGCGATTGAATAACAAGTAGACAATATTAAACTTTTGAAAGAACCACAAATATGCTGAGAATCCATTAAAATATACTGAACTCTTGAATATGAAATATGCACACACAGACAGATATATATATATATATATATATATATATATACATTCAATTGTAATGGGACAGAACATCAGTGATGCTAAAATATACAACTATTTAAAATAGTTCAAAGTTAAATCCATAAACAGGAAATCAAGGCTACAAAACTAACTAAAATATTATGATTGATCCCCCAAATTTTTATCAAACCATTTCCTAAATTCCTATAAAGTTGCAGCCTCTGTCACTCTAGAAGGCAATTTATTCTACTGATTTTCCACCCTTTTAGAGAAAGAAATCTGCCTCAATCAGAAATGTGTCTGACCTTTCGAACTCCTCACTTTATGACTTCTTTAAAACAAAAATACAGTGTGTGTGCTTGTGTATTCCAAGATCATTCATCAGACTAAATAAATGCAACGTTTCTACTTAAAATTAAACTTCACATTCATCTAGCATGACTGTGTACTACATTACCAGTGATTCTCATTTCACATTGACAGGGATGTGATCTGTAGATATTACCTGTGCAACTGGTGAAGGACATTGCTCTTCAACAAAGTCACTATAAGCCATGTTCTCCACAAGCAGTAACAGGTATAATCTACTTTGAAAATGACACAGGAACAAAGTTAGCTCGAAACAAGATTTACTTAATGCTATGAGAAAAGCCTGCACATACACAGAACAAAGAATAAATTCAGAATAAATATTAATTGTATAGAAAGAAGAAACCTATTTTATATTCCTGTAACACATTTCATGTCTTCCTGACTTTAGGCTTGTCTCAAGTCAATAATTAACTTTAATATGACAACCATTAAACTTAAAATCATGCTGATCGAGAAATGCATTAATCCTTCCTGGCTTCTACACTTACACATTTCATAGATGTCACAACCCTTTAAACAATGAAATACACGAATACCTAAAACAATAAAACCATATTTATATAAAAAACATTTAAATAAAGACATGCAATGCAATATACAGAATACAAAAATAAACCTTGAACACAGAAAGATACAATACAAAATTTAAAATAAAACCCCTTAACCCTTTCCAGATGGGTCATGGGTGAAA